GCAGCAGCGTTGCTCCACAACTGTCCACTAGGTGGATGACCCACATGGTGCAGCAGACCTCTCCTGCCCCACCTGCTGCTGCTCCCTTCAGCAGTGTATTTCAGTAGAACTGCCTGTTCTGCTCCCCACTCTGTCTCTGGTGAATCCTCTCACCCTCACACCTCTGGCCTGTACCCGGATTCTTTTATGCATAAACATTTTTTTAAAAATGAGCATACAAAGTTGCCTACACTTAATTCTTTCCAGATTTTCTTTATACCCAAAGAAATAACCTAGCAACTGATATTTTTCAAACCAGCCTATGGAGCTACTCCTTCTTTACACTTACTGTGTAAAGATTTTGCCTCTCACCAGGAGGGGTAAGAAGTTGGCAACTGTTTTAATTGAGAAATTTTACTTCAGGGCAAGTTTACATAAAAATTGTTAATGAAGTTTGAAAAGCATGATTTGTTCCACATAATTTCAATAAAGGAGAATTATAAATTATGTTCCCCAAACTGTAATTTTCAGCAACTTTTACAGTAGATCACAAAAATTTTTGCTTGATCAATAAATTTTGAGCTTATCTTTTGTCCCATCTCCTTTTATGTTAGTGAAGTGGAACAGCAGAGTTGGTGCTTTTCAAATATGCAATAATTTTTGTAAACCTAACTAAAGTTAGTACAGAAAGAAATCATTTTTCATTTTACACAGCAATAAACAGGGAGTAAAATCTACTTCCAAATTATTGTAAGGATAAAATATAATCATGTATGTGAACGCTCTTAGCACTGAATACCTTTATAATGATCTACAGATCATTTACTTGATTAGGAAATTTTCTTTCTTTTTCCCAAAACTTATTCACTTGATCATAGACTTCTAAACATAAGTATATGAATGATTAATAAATAAATGGTTCAAATATTTTTAAACCTATGCTTCTTTAATAATTATAATCCATTCCCTATTGTGTTATTATATTTCCTTATATTACAAAACACAGTCTCTTTCTCTGGTAATCAAATTTAACACCATCCCTTTTGAAATGCACCAAAAACTTAGAATGAAATAAATCATGTAACCATAAAATATTAGGAGGCTAATAAGTTACTGTTTCTAATTTCACAAAGAAAATTAAAGTGTATTATTTACATATTCATTCAATCAACACTTATACATACAATGAAATGTAACTTCCACATACAAATGATATATTCCCAACATACCTGTTCACATAAACACTTCTCATCACTGCGCTGCAATTATGCTGGCTGTAACAAAATAAAATCTTAACTATTCTTCTACCTTTCTGACTTTTCTGTTTTGAACTTTATTGGTTCTTTATCTCTTCACCAAATCACAGTAAGCACAAATACTTTCCTTGTGGTTCCAAGCATGTTCTTCAAAGTATCTAGCAGAGCAGAACCTTACCAGAATTAAGAGTTAGAAAGCAAACAAGAATCCAGACCTTCATTTCATATGTCCTTCACTTATACAGGGAGGACAGCAAAGCAGCAGCCCAATAACATTTGCTACATTACAACAGATTTTGCCTTCTAACTATATTGTCATCCATCTGCCCACCTGTAACTTTGCTCATACCATTCCAAGCTCATATCCCATCTCCTCTACTAGCTTTCCAAAGATACAAAAAAAATTGCTCTTTTTCTCAAAACTTATTAAGAATATTATTTGGTACTATGCTTCTAAAGTCACAGACCAAAAATAGTTAAAAGACAGTTGGCGTCTAAAAAACTGTATTATGTTTTTCAGATTAAATTTAACTCTCTAAAAATCTAATACTTAGCCATCTTTAAAAAAATGGAAAATTTACCAAATAAAATTTGGTTTATTTTGTAAGCAGCTCTTAAAAGAGAAAGAACACATCTTTTTGCCTGCCTAGTGAAAATATTCTGAGGTTGCTAATGTGACTTTTATGAACTGTACTTCTTAACCTTCATACTGAAATATTGCTTCAGTTGTCTGGAACTATAGATACTACTTCCATTTCAGGATCTTGAGGACTGATGTACATGTCTATCCTGCCCTTTCTACTGTCAATGCTCCACTACCCATTCCCATCCTCCCAATCCCATAACTCCTCTACCTCAACAGCAATAGAAAAGGACAAAGAAAAGTATCACAACAGAGAGCAGACCTGCTACAAGATACATTTACATATTGTACAATATAGTCCTCTAGAATTCCACCCACAACAGGAGAGATCTTAACTCTCCTTGTAGAGTCAAGAAATCTAAACTTTTAAGAACTGCCCATATGAGGCCTCTCAGATAAATTTAGCTGGTTACATACACACTCAGAAACTTAAATTTTCAGAATTCAAGTTCTGAAACTTTTACCAGTTAGATGTTTCATCTCATCACTCTCTAGCAGTGTAGTTAAGAGCAAATCACTGCATTTACAGAATATTAAAGAAAGCATTTCCTTCACATAGATACTAGTCCTACCATGCAGTAAGTCATAATGTATTTGAAAAGAAGCCAAACAAAAACCACACTTATTTTGGGCAAGTAACCAAACAATAAAAATATTAAATGACAACAAGCATTCCATAAAAACTATTCCAGGTTAAAGTGTGAAAGTAACTTGGGGCAGATTTAAATTATAGTGACCCCAAAGTCCAGATTTTCAGTACTGTGGGTGTCATACTTCCCATACAGAAATGGTGAGGGGATTAAAAAATAACTTTAAGTTGTAATTAAACATTCTTAAAAAATCAATACACCAAAAACAAAATTTTAGGTCTGTGACATTAACAGAGATTCCTTAATTTCCCTTTTATTTGCTTTCTATTTACAAAAGCATAGCATTAACCACATTCTGTCTTTTTAATTAGTATCCCAAGTACACCTTCCATTTTATACTGGAATATCAGGGCAAGCAGAATGTCTTCACCTCAAATTCCTATAACCAAAACACTAATTTGTTTCCTGATTTCTATTTAACACTTCTTCATCTCCAGTCATTTAATACTCCACAATAAACTAAAATTACTTTAAGCATATGACTGTTATAGTGGGAGTCAAGTAACTCTTGTTTCTGTCACTGATATGCGCAAGTGCCACAAGTAACTTCTAACTAAAATTCCCTAATCTTTTCTAAAGATGGTTTATTTACAATCAATTATAAAGGTTGTATCTAATTTAGGAAAGGTGCGCCTTCAAAATTCATCTAGCATTTGTTATTTCTGTACTATCAAAATAGCAATAAAAATAAACCAGTAACCTAAACATTTATGTGGAATGCAGAGACCCAAACCAAACTTACTGATGGTATTATACATTGAGACTTTAAAAATCTAACAAGGGATGAAAAGGAGACTTTCATGACTATTACTAGTTACCTACCGAACTGGATCAGCCAGAACTAAAGGACAAAATACACATAAAGTGCTACACGGTAGTTACTATAAAAATTATTTTATCACTGACATTAAGTGTTCTTCCCATTTTACCGATGAGGAAATGGAAGTTTAGAGTGTGACTTACTAGAGACCCTAACAAGTAAAACTAGGTTTTGACTCAAAACCACAAAACTGATGGAACAGAAGTTTAGGCATTTATTCTGGTGCTCTTAAAAATACAAGGAAGCTTAAGAATGGCACTGAGGATTTAATGTCAGAAGCAAATCTGACATAAATTCCACAGACAGCAGGGCGGGGTGGCTGATGGTCGGCCAGGGTCCTGTGTCCTCTGGGCAGCCAGCCCAATGTGGCTTCCTCCACCCGCAGGGGACTCGAGCCTCGCAGAAAATCCAGCCACCCTTGGAAAGCCAAGTTCAGCAACTTGGGACATATGGGGGGGGGGGGGTGGGGACCGGGCGAGGGGGTGGGGTCAGTCCTGAGCCTCCTTTTCCTATGGCTCTACCACGCCAACTTTTGTTGGGCCCACACACAATTCACCCCACGCCAAAGGCGTGGAAGTTGGAGGAATAAAATTCTCCTCCTCCAGGAAGCTAGAAAGTTCAACTCTGTTCAGAGAAAAAGCGGGTGGCGACAGTAGTGGACAAAAAGAGAATCAGACAAGGGCCGTCCGAAGTCCTAAAGGCCGAGTTCTGAAGAGGCTTCCAGCGCTGCTCACCTGCACAAACTTAGGCCGCCGGACCGAAATGCGGGCGCGGCGTGGGGAGTCGGACGAGGGTAGCTAGGAATAACGCCAGGTGCCGGCGTGGCCGTCGCAGGGGTCGGGGGGGGGGGGGGGGGGGCCGGTGAAGGAGGTGCTGGTACTCAGCCCCCGTCAGCCTCTGATGTGACAGCGCCCAGGCCCCGACCCGCGGCATGACACGCGGCGACCGCGAGCTCCACGTCCTCGGACGGCCCGCACCGGAGGAGGGGAGAGGAAGTCTGTGGGAGGCGCAGGGAGCACCTGGGGACCCCCACTGCCTCTCCGACCCGAAGGCTAGAGCCCGAGCCCCTCCCCGCCCCAGGGCCCGGGGCCCACCCCTGCCCAGCGCCCGGCACAAAGGTCCCGGCCAAACCCGCGGCGAGAACCGACATCCGGCCGAGCTCCGAAGTTCAGCCGCCTCGTCTCGCCCGGACGGCCCCGCCCCGCCGCGCCCCACCGCAAACCCTCACCTTCCCGGGGCCGCGTCCGGCCGCAGTGCCGTCGCTCGGGCCTGCTGCGCCGCGGCTGCCGCTCGGCCTCTCCTTAGGGCTGCGCGGCCTCCGGGGTCTCGGGCGTGCCGGGTGGCGGCTCCTCCTCCTCACAGGCTGAAGGAGGCAAGAGGAGGAGTCTGAAGCCGTCTCTCCCCGCAGGAAACGACCCCCACGGCACCGCCTCCTCCTCAGCAAAATGGATTAGGCTCAGGCTGCTGCCGCCGCCCTTTCCCTCCGGAAAAACATTCCTCCAGGCCGCGTCAGCCGCGGAGGTGGAGAGAAAGAGGAGGAGAAAGCTGGAAGACCTCAGGCTGGGACAAAGGCCTGGGAGGGAGCGGACCTTAGTCGGGGAGGCGGGGCCTGCGTTTCCTATCTGCTGAGGGAGGAGGGTGTTGGGATGTAGCCCAGTGCTTCGCGTGGTCTGACGAGCTTTAATTTCTCCCAAGGAAGAAGACTGGACGGGCCTAAGAAAACCTAGGGCTGGACTCTTCTTTTCGGCCTGTCTTAAGCCCTGCACCCCAAAGCCTCAACCATTCAGTTTGCCCCGACTGTCTTGTTGAATACTGGAAGACTTGTACCCCAGGAACCCCTCCTGTCCCGGGCACATCAAGACCTTCACCTACGCCATGGGGTTTCATGGAGCCAGAAATGTTTTCTTTATGGAAGGGAATTAGCCAATATTGTTTTCCTGAAATTGTAGCAGGATGGTCTAGTTCCCTGGACGTTTGTTTATGAGAAAGATGAAGACTTGCGAAGGAGATAGATGCTTAGATGTAAATGAGGAAAAATCTCAGAGAAAAACTGGTAAGTTGAGGAGGTGTTTATGTTAGATTAACTTGAAGGTTCATTAAGGGGGCACAAGGATGAGGGAAAAGTTTGTTCCTTAAGAGTGCAGTTTCTGGGCCTCCCTGGTGGCCAGGAGCTAAGTCTCAGAGCTGTCAACTTTGTAGCTAGTGGCTGGTGCCTGAGTTCTATCCTAAGCCAGGGAGCTGACCCACAAGGTGCAGCAGACCTCTCCTATCTAGCCCACTATCCCCTCAGCAATGTATTAGATTGTCTGTTGTCTCTGGTCAATCTTTTCACTATTTTCCTCCCCCGCCCCACCTTGGCCGGTTCCTATATGCATACATGCTTTTTTTTTTTTTTTTTGGGGGGCGTTTTTTTTTTTTCTTCCTTTTTTTTTGTGTTCGGTGTATATGGAGACTAAAGAAGGAATATTCCAAAGAGAAGTGAAATACTATGAGACTGACAGGGCATATTTTAATAAAAGAATTGAACCTTGTAACAGCCAACGTATTGAAATTTAGTAATTTTGAATATGCTGCAGGCACACTACCACCTGACAAGATGTGTGAAATTGAGAAAGTGTTACACTTAAACATTAGTAAGTGGTATATCCATTTGATAAAAATCTCTAATAAAATAACAAAGTGAAGTTTTCCCATCTATGGAAAATTTGCACATTGCTCACCAGCAAAATCAAGCTGTTCATTAAGTCACTTCTGAAGATCTCTAAGGGAATGAGAGTGCTTTTCCCCATTTAATGGATAACCAAAAAAAAAAAAAAAAAGTTAAAAGATGTTTCCAGAGTAATAATACAATGAAAACTCCAGTAGATCTCAACATTCTTGAATATAAAGTTCTTGATTAAACGTAAGACATTCTTATTAGCTTTTCTGATTACACCATTCAAAATTAGTCAGAATTGGCCTGGTCTTAGCATGAGACTGTAGCTTAAAGATGCAGTTTGATTTGTTCTCTGCATTTGCCAAAATTCCTTGAATATGACTTGTGGAAGCAATCTTTGTCACATAAATATGGGTTTACATTTACAATCCTGAACTACCTTGAATTAAGGGACAGTTCAAACATAAATTCCAGTGCCAAACACTTTACAGAACATGTAGTAAATGCTCAGTTAATATTTGATAAATGAATAAATGGGTCCTTTTTCTCCAGAAGGATTAGGTCCGAGCACTGGCTAAACTGAAGTGCAAGTTGCCATTTATATATAAAAATCATGAGTTTTGAGGAAAAGTAAAACATGTTCTCTAAGAAAAGCAGTGATTGTTCCAGAATATAATCACCTATTATTTTCCAAAGAAAAGTTGAAGTTGCTCACCAGCAAAACTTTATTGGATACCCCAGTTTATGTCAGTTGGTGTTCAATACCTATTTCAATTTATAACTGATGGATAGACTACATAAATGAAAGGAATACAAATATTTAGTCTGGTGTTAAAAAGGCTAAAGGCCTCTCTAGGAACTGGTTATCTATCTGTTGAAACAGTGGGAGCCCTGACCATTAGATCTAGTAGGTTGTATTTTGTCATAAGATTCTAGGGCTCAAGATTGGGACAGAGTGGATTCAGTTGGCTTTCTCTTAGAATTTGAACATTCTTGGGATTTAGTTTCTCAAACAGTAATCTCTCTAGTCATTTCATGATAAGTTGAATGCTTTTCAATCCCTGAAGGTGTGAATAACCCTAAACAATATAAACTTTTAATGATAGATAATTTCATACTTGTCCATTTATAAATCATGTCCAGAGTGCAATAATCAGAGAACAAGACCCCATTGGGTTAGAGCAAAGGATGGATACCTGCACCAGGAAAATAGAAAAATACGCAAGGCCAATTTTTATCCAGTGTTGGACAGTGACTAGCAAATTCTGGCATAATCCATATTAGATCATTTTATAAATAAGCAGGGTGACTTTGTGTCCAGTATACCCAAGATAGCCCATTTGCCTGTTGTCCAAGCATAATTATTAATAGTACCCTTTTTCATTCTTGAAAGAACATCCTGATATGAATGATAGATTATATAGTCACCCTGTAAATAAGAGTGGCTAGTCAGTGAGGAATGAGAAGAGTAATTTTAGAAATCTAAGGACATGCAAAAGGAAATACTACATGTCAGGTTACAGTTTTATAGGTGATCATTTCCATCATTGATATGAAAAAAAATTGTGTGGGAACAAGTTTGCTGAATTCAGCACTTCTATGTTACGAAAATGCCCCATCAGAAGAGTTAATTAAGCAAAATCTTTGAAAGTAACTTAGCTGATCAACAAGATTTGCATCTTAATTACTATTTTAAATTTATGTGCTGACATTTGGAGCAAATTAACAGGTTAATTAAGTCTTCAGCTACTTTACTAAGACATTTTTCTACAGTGTCCTAAAAATATTTTTCTCATCTGCCACATCCCCCAGATGTCTTTTTTAAACATTAAAAACATTTCAAAAGTTATTAAAAACTATGGAAACATTACTAACGTTTCTTAAACATTAAAAAAAGAGAGAGAAAGAGGCGGAGTATGAAGGAGTAGGTCTCTGATAATGTCTTTTAATATAATATAATTTCCTTAAAATGTGAGTCTGTGTGCCTTAATTAAAATAAAATAATTTTTAAAAAGCAGCCCTGGAAATTACTGGCATTTTGAAAACGATGAGACAGTCCTTCTAGTTCCTCCTTTTCCTGCCTCCAAATATGTAAGTAACATGTTAATAAATAATTACACAATGTGGGGAATCTAGAGATTTATTTTGCAGCTATTTCTCCCCTCTTATAGTTGGGGGGGGTTACTTAGTGCATACTCCTCAATATTCTGCTATAATTTCCAAAGGAAGCATGTAGTTTCATTTGGTACAAGGCAGCTACTAGTTTGTGGTCTGTGTCAGTGTATTTTGACCTATCTTGGTTAGTGCTGTATTCATTTTCTTGGCTTGATTGGCAATGTGTCCCTTATAACTTAGGCTAGCCAGTTAGTAGTCATGTCTTTGTCTAGATAGTTAATAGTTGCTGAATTATGACCTTGAATATGGGTGAAGTATTAGGAAGCCTGCTTCAACTGATTCTACTTCCTGTTTTCCATATATATGTTTCTCCTTTTCTCTTGTTCTCTTCATGAAGCATTGCCTCCACTGGTGTGGGCCTCCCCTGCCAGCTTTCAGATGCTGAACATTTTTATGAGCCCAGAGGGAACAATCTTTTTATGCAGCTCTTCTCAGACACTGAGTTTCTTCAGCTGGAGAAGGGAATGTGCCTTCCCAAATAAGAATGAAGAATATGCCAAATATAAGCAGTTGAAATAGCACTAGAGTTATTTTTAGAAAGCAGGGTCATTCAGTACAGGAAATGATCTTGCTGCTGAATACTTACAGCTAATGACTACAAACCACATCATTCTTTCCTCATTTAACTACCTTTCGAATGTCTTGAGAAAATTTGGTAATTTAAATTAGGAGCAGCTTGAATCTGTTAGATTAGTTAACAGGTATGTTGATAAGAGACCCCTCCTCCAAATTAATGCTCACCACATACCTAAAATAGAGTCTTTAGTGTACCCATATGTGGGCAGTGTGAGCCCATCTACTTCCTCAAAATAGGCAAATTTCACTTGTAAATATAAATGTACTTTTTTTTGGCAAGTTATTTGTCATTTTAGTGGGATGTTACCTTCAAAACTTTGAGTCATTATTTTAAAGCACTGATATGGTCAATCACTTTTATAAACAAAAGGCTTAGACAAAAGTTTTGTTGTTTCTTGGAATATCGAGCTATTTATTGTTTAGTCTTAATTACAATACATTTTTAAGAATCAGATAAACTTCCAAATATTTTGTTTTAACAAAGATTTTTACTGTAGCACTATTTAAACTATAGGAAATAAAAAGTATAATCTTTTGTGATAAAACGACACAACTAAAAAGTGTGCTGTTTGTGTTTAGTTTTCAAGGGAAAGTAAAGTTCCAAGAGAAATTTTAAATTTCCAATTTGTTATACTAGGATTCAAGTCCCTTGAAATTATATTTGAGAATCACCCTGATGAAAAACTGCCATAATTTGTAATTAGATTGAGAAAAATTCTACTTAATTTGTTTACTATGATTCTTAAGATATTTTCTACATAACATTACGAAGAAGTGCTGCAGCACATCTGCTTTAAGATTTCTTCATTGTTGTTGACTTATATCATAGTCTTTTTGCTCTATGATCACAAGAATTCCCTATTTAGAATGGCTTATGATTGCTACAGGATTAAAATGTCAATTAAACTGTTTTCACCTACAGTCAGAACATTGATTATGTGAAGGAATCACTTCAATTAAAATTTGTCAATAGAGAAAATATTTGCAAAAGACATGCTGGACAAAGGGCTGTTATTGAAAATGTAAAAGACCTCTTAAAATTCAACAATAAGAAAACAAGCAACATAATTTAAAAATGGGTCAAACAGGGCCCTCCTTGATGGCACAGCGGGTTAAAGCACCAAGAAGCTAAAGCCACTTCCACATGAGTTCAATGCCCCCAGCCCTGGAGGTGACCGACATGGCCCTGCAGACTTCTCCTGACCCGCCGGATGCTCCCCTCAGCAGTGCACTTGTCAATCTGCCTGTTCTGCTCCCCACTCTGTCTCTGGTGAATCCTCTCACTGCCCCTGCACCTCTGGCCTAGTTCTGTATGCACAAATCAATGAATCTTAAAAAAAAGAATGGGTCAAAGACTGTAGAAGCCACTGACCAAAAAAGATATATGGAAAGCAAATAAGTATGCAGAAAGATACTCTACATTATGTATCACTTGGAATTTGCAAATTCCTCACCTTGTAAAATACCACTATACATATATTAGAATGACCAAAATCCAAAATACCACCACATGCTGCTAAGGATCTGGAGTAATAGGAAGTCTCATTCACTGCTGGTGGTAATGCAAAATGGTACAACCACTTTGGAAGACACTTTTATATTCTCTTATAAAACTAAACTTGCTCTTGTATGTTACCTAGCAATGA